GTATCAAAACTTGAAATTACTTGAATGGGGAAACCAGTGCAAGCTAAATATTACCAGCCTGTTTCAGTTAAAAAAAAAACTCTACATGAGAGTGCAATGGATCTGGTGGCCGATGACGGAATTTTTCTTTAAAAAAAAAGAAAAAAAGAAAAGTGACCCAAATTTTTTAATTTTTTATTTATTGAGGCAATAGTCATGTTAATAGTTAATGAGTTGCACAAACTCTGGAAAAGAATCCATTACATCTTCATTTAACTCAAAATGTTTTTATATTATATATATACATATACTATTTTAATTTTTCATTATTAAAAGTAGTTTTGGAATATTTAATAGTATCATTAAATGTTATATTAAATATTATATTAAATATAAAATTCAGATTTTTGCTGCATTTCTTCACGACGCGAAACAAATGCTACTGTCGAAAAGCATAAATTTTAAATTTTGACTTTGTCTGCGATTCAGTTGTTATTATTTATTTGACTCTTGACGCATCTTTATATATCGGTGTTTTTTTATATATATATATTATTTTATGACGTTCTAATAACAAGCAAAAAATATTTTGGTATTTTTTAATTATAAAAAAGCAGTCTTATAGCTACTGAAAAAATCTGTTAGATTATCGGAATTATATTTGTACTAAAATATAAAATCCAAAAAAAGTAGTTAGAAAAAAAAATGTTTTTCCTTCATATTCAAAAATTTATNAAATATTACCAGCCTGTTTCAGTTAAAAAAAAAACTCTACATGAGAGTGCAATGGATCTGGTGGCCGATGACGGAATTTTTCTTTAAAAAAAAAGAAAAAAAGAAAAGTGACCCAAATTTTTTAATTTTTTATTTATTGAGGCAATAGTCATGTTAATAGTTAATGAGTTGCACAAACTCTGGAAAAGAATCCATTACATCTTCATTTAACTCAAAATGTTTTTATATTATATATATACATATACTATTTTAATTTTTCATTATTAAAAGTAGTTTTGGAATATTTAATAGTATCATTAAATGTTATATTAAATATTATATTAAATATAAAATTCAGATTTTTGCTGCATTTCTTCACGACGCGAAACAAATGCTACTGTCGAAAAGCATAAATTTTTAATTTTGAATTTGTATGCGATTAAGTTGTTATTATTTATTTGACTTTTGATGCATCTTTATATATCGGTGTTTTTTTATATATATATATATATTATTTTATGACGTTCTAATTACAAGCAAAAAATATTTTGGTATTTTTTAATTAAAAAAATGCAGTCTAATAGTTACTGAAAAAATCTGTTAGATTATCGGAATTATATTTGCACTAAAATATAAAATCCAAAAACAGTAGTTAGAAAGAAATTGTTTTTCCTTCATATTAAAAAATTTATCAATAATTGATTTTGTAAATTAAAGAAATTTCAATGATTAACATGTGTTTCTCTTAGTTCTAAATAGCTGCAAATTAAAAAAATTATTCCTTGGAAGTCAATCGTGTATGGAAGATTTTACCTTTAATGCAAGAAAAGATCCCTTTATTTCATGGTTTATTCCATAATCATATGTTATTAAAATGCTTAATCTAATACTTTTGACAAATTATGACCTAAATTAATACACAGTAATGAAATAAATTATGTTTAATAAAATATGTCTGCGCCAAAGGTGTTAAGTTATGAGATTGAAGAAGTTTGAACTTAAATTTAAATAAACAAACCAGTTAATATATTAAAATATATATCAAGAATTGTGAAGGAATGTAATTTCATTAACGAAGCGTAGCTGAAAATAATATTTAGCTGTGAGTACGCAAATTATTATTGATTTTTCTTTTTCTTTATATAAAACACATATGAGTATAAAAATATTTATGAGTATAAAATTAATAATTAACAACTATTTTTTCAAATTCACCTCTTATGGTGATTTGTTGGTAAAGACATTTACTAATTTTATTAAATAATATTTAATTAAATTTTATTTTCTAGTGGACTCATTATATTAATTATCTTCAGAGTCGTATACTAGTTGCATTTCGATGGAATGTTTTTGAATTTAATTCAAAAAGCTGAAGTAGGCTGTATTTCAAAGAAATTCCAATGTGATCTGGTTAGAAGTAATACTTTATTTAAATATTGATTGTTGCTTAATAAAGCCTAATTTAATTTTTTCAGTTTAGCAACCGGACTTCTGGGTTCGAATCCCGGATAAGTCATGGATGCTCTTTCTTTCTCTGTACTATCCGTCCTTAGTGTGGGAGCAACGTTGGCTCTTCTAATATGGTTCCCTTGAAAGAGTGGCCAACAAATCTGCCCTTATAATACTTGAATGACGAGTGTCAATCGAGTAGGCATTGAAAAAAAAATTGTTTCCATTTCAAATGTAAATAAAAATAGTTAACTGCTCGAAAGTTCCCTTTGTTTCGGAACTACACAGTTTTATGACTAATTATTTGACCAATTATTTATCATTAATAAATTAAAGGTACATAAGTATAATTATTTGGCATGAAATACTAGCAGATAATACTTTAGAAAATATCATAATTTTATAATAATTAATAATCGAATTCTTTATAAAATGTTTAACAGTACCCCATTTGCTCTCAGGTTTATGTATTTTAACATGATCTAAATAGAAAAGACAGACATGATTCAACAAACAACGTTTTTTCACATAAATTTTAACATTGAGTGGCACAATCAATGTAATTACTTGATTTCAATTACATACTATTTCTAAAAAACTAAATTTTTACTAATGTATAACAAATTTCTATACAAAATATATTTCAATGTCCTTCATTTGATAGATGATATAGTTAAGCTTGCTAACTCAATCAGAATAATAGTTCTGTAAACAACAATTTTTTTACCTAAATTTTATCATTTCCTTGAAAAATTCAAGTAATTGCTTAACTTGATAAACTAACTGATGCTGATTAGAAAATATAAAAATGTTTAATAATTAATAACACATTTCTAAACACATTTCTGTTTAGTAGCAACTCATTTGGTATTATGCTAAATATTTTAATATAATCTTAAAAATAATTTTAACAAACATTTATTTCTCATTTCATAAATTTTATCATTTTCTTGCGGTAAATTCCCCTAAAATGGGGTAAAAAAAATCATAATAAAAATGACTGAATAAGTTTAATAATTATATTATCTTTGTTATTACAGCATTTGCTTAAATAAATTATTCCATAAATACTACAGTTTAGAAGCTACAAAGTAACTTTAGTATGTCATAAGAAATAAGTATAAAATCAAAATGGACAAGAAGAAACATTTTTTTTTCAAAATTATGTTTGATTTATAATTGAAATATTCATATTTCCTTTTCAAACAGGGAGAAAATTAATGATAGTTTTCCATACAAATTGCAAATATTAGAAGATTGACGTTTTTGTTTTAATTTTTCTCAATTGAAGAGCTTTGCTAAACACAAAACAATCATGAATATATTTAAAAAAAATACCTTCAAATTATTAAATATAACAGAAGTATGAAGTAAATCTTTTTAATGTCTTAAGCTACTTGAATTCAAGATATTCCTTTGAAATAATTTTTTAATTTCATTCGCTATAAAGAAAACTAATATAAAAGAAAAACAGATGTAGTTCGGTTTATTATATGTATTATATGTATGTGTTCCAATTTATAAAAAAATACACCGAAACAACATGGTTTAATTATTTTTCTTATAAACCTAACGAACTATTAACGAACTATTTTTTTTAAAAGCCTAACTTTTCTATTAAGAAAAATAGCTTGGCCATAACATGGATTATTAATAATGCAGTCACATCAGAAATTTTAAAATTGAAAAGAATATTTTCTCTTGTTTGTGACATAACAGCATTATTGTTTCTTTTATCATTGATGCGTAAAATTTTAAGTGAGGTATTAAACACTTTTCGTGATGAAATAAATTAAACAAATTTTTAAATATTTCGTATGTTTATATATCATTGTTATTTTGAAACATAATAACATTAAATTTTCGTTGTATATTAAAATATTTTGAAATATATTGGTAAAAATAAAACTAGCCTGTATTCAAGAGTAATTGGTTTGACAGAATTATAACACAATTGAGGAGAAATAATTCATTTATATTAAGTAACTGCATAATGTATTTATGAAAAATTTACTTATGCTACTAATATATTTGTATTTCTGTCATTCTAATATTATTTTTTATTAAAGGTAATGTTTAAAATGTTTTGTAAAAACAGGATTTTCTTAAAAATTTAAATTTTTTCAGGATTACTGATGATGCTTCCCAACAAAACTTGTAAATTATGTGGAGTATTTTAGCAATAAAAACTATTTATTTTAAAGATATTTCAAAATATGAAAACAGATAAATAAAAACTGCTTATATATATATGTATGCATCGGAAGTTCACATTATCTAGATTGTACTTTATTTGAAGTTTACTTTTATGAAATGATAAGGAATTAGTGATGAGGAAAAATATATAAATGGAAAAATTTATTGCGATGCAAGTTATCTGATTTTAAAACTGTATGTTATATATATGTGTAATATATATGTAAAGTAATATATATGTAAAAAAAATGCAAAATGCTATCACGAAAAAAGTGCAAAACGTTGCACGATAAATTTGTAATACTTATTTTTTTGCAAAAAATAGCGCATAATGAATAATAAATAAAATCTGAAAACCGTTTATAAAATCTTGTGCATAATATTTTGAATTTAAAATTTGTCACAAAAACTACAAAATACTTAGAGCAGCTATTTTTTTTAAATATAATTAACTCTTTTTATTTAAATAATATTACTCCCTTATATTTTAATATTTCCATTCTTCATTTGTTAAATAAATTTTGGAGAAAACTCCCTTTTTTAAACTTTATTCTAAGTAAGAAAATTAATTTTAAGTGAAAAAAATGACATACTTGTAAACATAATTGTGTTTGCTTTTAAACGCATGCATTAAAATGAAGAGAAAAGAGAAAGTTTCCTACCTTTAAAAATTTAAACCAGTTGTTCCATTAAAGAGAAAAAGATCCGGAAAATGTGGAATCGGGAAAAGCAGAAAGATGTGCGAAGAAACTTTTCAGTCGAATTGGAAAAATAAAACTCACTCTGTTGAGTTCCATGCGCTGCGAAGCTTCGACTGATCAAGTTTACTATGGAGCTTCCCCAACACCACTCGTGCAGCAAGTTTGTAACACCGGTACCCTGTAAACGTTCCTGGCTGTCACGTGGCTTCCACTCGACCAATCAGAAGCGGCTTTTATATATTTTTGTGTTTATTATTTAGAGGTTTTACTCTGTTTTGCAAAAAAAATAAAATTGAACTATTGTCATTTTTCATCAGACGATTTGTAATAATTTTTAATGAATAAAAACTCCCTCGCTCTTTTTCGAAAAAGGTTTTTGACCCTTAAGAAATGCACTTAAAGCTTTAATTTGAGTTCTGTTTAGAAGGAACTTATTTAATAATATTAGAATCAACCATTTTGATGGTTTCGATATTATTATATTTTAATGATTCGACGAATATTTTAATAGTGGAATCATCAATTTTGATGTGTAAACTTTTTCTTTAAATTTATTTGTATATTTCAAAAATATTAAAAAAAACAATATGAATAATGGAGGAGGTATATCAGAAAAAAAACATGAACTATTTTTATTCGTTCATTGGTAAATTAATTTTATTTAAATACTTTAATTATTTTCAAAATTCGTTTAAGGATCTTTAGTTTAATTTGGAAATTTTCGACTCATTTTAAATTTATTTTATAATATTAGAATCAACCATTTTAATGATTCCAAAATGATCATATTTCAATTATTATATTTTAATGATTATATTTCAATGATTCCAATATTGAAATCCTCAATTTTGCGTAATTTTTTTTAAAAAAAATCTTATTTATGTTCTTAGAATATTAAAAAGCACAATATGAATGATGAAGGGAAATTTTATTGGTTTATTGGCAAATTAATTTATTTAAATATCTTAATTATATTTAAAATTCACTTTAAAATACAAATTTTTCAATTAATTTTAAATTTTTTTAACTGTTAGGTTCCTATAGACCATTGAAAACAAAACTAAAGTAATATATATATAACATTATATAAAGTTAAACGTTGTACAGAAGCATGAGTTTTTTGCAAATAAATTAGATGGTGTACAGAGAAATTGGGTGTTTTTTTATATGAAACAAATTAAATATTTTACCGAAATATATATGATACCAAATTATATATTGTCTGTAATAAAATATGTTAGTTTTTTTTGCCCAAGAACGAAATATATATTTCATAAGAAAATACGTTCTAAAAAGAAACAAAGTTTCTACCAAAAATTACATAATAATGAAACATTTCAAAACATATTGGAGTTAATATCTACGGTACTCCAAGAGTTCACGGTTTAAATAATCATAAAATTGTTGACAACATTAATTTATGTTTAAGAAAAGTACAACGTTTGTATTTACATGTAATCAGATGTCAATTTTGGAGACTTCGATCAAATCAAACTTTGGTCCTTTGATCGTCTTTTAATCGAGTTTAAAATGTTAGGCAACAAAGGAATTCTTTTAAAACTATTCACTGTTCAAAAATTACCAAAATTTGAAAAAAAAATGGTTTAAATTCCGATGGTTCATGCATTACAATTCAGTATAGAATTCGTAATTTTTCAGTAATTCGTAATTGTTACTGTAAAAAATACTGTGTACCATATATTTTGTTCCTTGAAATTCTACGGTAAAAAGGGAGTCTACGATGAAATGCACCGGCCACCTGATTGCCAATACTTTTCACCGTAATTTGATCTGTAATTTCTTATCGGATACAAAGAAGGCAGAGAAAGTAACAATTTTGATTGTTGCTTTTTTATCATTTTGGAATTATTTTATTTAAAAAAAATTGGAATATACAATAAGAACTTTAATTAGTTGTACTTGGTGCCAAGATACAAGGCGAAAAAAATTCTGGTAAAATTACTGTACTGTATATTAAAGGCATTTCAGGCAAAACAATCAGAATTCTGGTCATAAAACCAAAATATATAGTAATTAAATCATTCATTTGGTAATTTTTCCGTTCATACGGTAAATGTTTACCGAAAACTATGATTCTGAAATTTATAATTTTTATTGCCACACATTAAGTAAAAATACAAAACTGAAAAGTAAATTTAACCAATTAAATGATTTTTATTCCATACACTTATATATCATGATGAAATTAATAAATTTTGCCACAATTACCAAATTTTACCAATTATCATAAAATAATATTTTTTTAATTTTACCAAAATCATTACAGATGCATTTCTGAAAAAATAACAGCAATTTTTTATGCTTCCATGGAGCCAGAAACATGGTTAACTATTCCATATTCTGGTAGTTTTGACCATATCTTTTTTCTCAGTGCTTATTTTAATAATTATTAGAAATTTATAGATAGCATTTACTAAATCTTCCCCAAGCTTTGAAGCAGCGACAAATATTTTAGAGAAGCACCTTCTATTTTTATTTATTTCTAAATTCCACTTTTGATACCATAATTGTTCATGAATTTCTGTGTAAAAGATTTTAAAGAGAACTAAATAACTCTAGTAACACTAATGTAAACAGATTTGGAATTTTTATTTCATTGCAACCAAAATGTGCATTTCAAAAAATAAGTAGATAGCTACTATCTAGTTTCAATTTTTAAATCTGATGTTATATAAACAATTACTGGGTAACCCAGTTTGATTATGTGAAAAATAATCAAAGGTTTTTGCAATTAAAAAAAGTAAAACTGGTAAAAAATATAAATTTAACTAATTTTGTGTACACTATAATGTACAAAAATGCTTATTATGGATGTTTATTATGGATTTTTCTCATACTTGTTTTAATTTTGATGTTATTATCATAGTGTTATATTACAATATTGTACACAGGGGGACTTTGAACCATGCTTACAAACTGTCTTTTGAAAATTTTTTACATTTGAAGTATACTTACAAACTTATAGGCTGTCTGTTCATGTGCATTTGAACCAATACTTAAATTTATCTAAATTATCTTTTATCTATTGAACCGATACTTCTATTTATCTAAATTATCTTATCTAATTTTTTTATTACCTAAATTTAATTTAATAATTTATGCTTTCTTATAATAATTGTATTCAAATTGGTCCAGATTTAACTGTTTTATTGTAGTTTTTTCACCAAATAAGTAAATTACATTAAAAAAAGCTACTTCTGCGTCTATGTAGTAGTTTTTGACAATAATTCTTAGAGAACAAAATTAGCAGTAAAATAAGTTTGGATAAATAAAAGTAACAAATCAAATGCAAAAAAAAAAAAAAAAAAAAAAAAAAAAAAAAAAAAAAAAAAAAAAAAAATAGACAGTCTATAAAATGGAAGCGTCCTTAGCGGTGTACTCTGGTATTTCGGGCCATCTGTTGCTATGCAATTTTTTATCCTTATGATGTGCCTTACCTGCCTTGAAAGTTTGTACACAAAGTTATGGGACAAAATGAATACGATTTTGTATGTTTAATTAAGCATGATGTGCGACTCAAATGCTTTTATTTTTATAAAACTAATTTTAAGGTACCAGCACAATAAACGTTAACTTCGCACTATACATTTGTTTCCAAATTTTAAAAACATATTTAAAGCTGTTGATAAACATATTTCAAAACATATTTAAAACATATATAAAGGTTTACCATATATGATTTTAAAACTATATATTTATTGTAATCAAAGTACAAACAAATAGTCATAGTTATCACATGTTTCTTTTCGGTTTTAATAAAATGGCTTTAAGATTGAGGAATTTAATGTAGATTTAGACTTGCTAACCTATACACCTAAAATCTAATATACAGGGAAAAATCGTCTCAAGATTTGAACCTTTAACGAATTAATATATAAATTGACAAAAGCAAAAAACAACGTGAATAAAGCACAAATAAGAGCACTGAAATGGACAAGCATAAATAGAAGTACAGAAGTGGACAAGCATAAATAAAAATACGGATATGGACAAATAAAAGTACAGAAATGGATATAATTTATGCTCTCTATCTATATTCCCAAATAATACCTTATTTTCCTTTCGAATAATTATATATTGGATTTCTAATGCACGAAATATTTAAATTTTATTCAAACAAAGAATATTTCGTTTATTTTTATTTTTCATTTTTTTGTACTGTAAATAATCATCGATTGCCAAAACATTTTTCTCCCAATAAAGCGTTTTAAGTTAACTAACATTATATCGCGTTAAGCTCATTTATTACGAGTCAAAGCTTAACGATATTTCTAGTTTAACAAAGGTATTTTTTTTTAAAAAGTGATTGTTTTAGTGCTAAAATCAATTTTTATTACATATAATGTGAAATATGGTTTAGTTAAATGGATTTTATGAAATTCTAGTTCTAATTATTTGTTTTTCAGAAATTGCTTTGTACGTAAAAGCTGAGATATAATTAAAAAAAAAATTATAAAAATATGTGCCAGAGTTATCAGTGATGGTATTGACAGAATAATTTTGTAATATAACAGTTATATTATTTTCCTAGTTTAAAGCTGTTTTGAGTGCAGATTTATGTAGATTGAATGTAGATTAGTGTCGATGGAATACAAAACTCTTTCACAAAATGTGTATGAGAGTGATTGGTGATTTTTCAAATATGTCAATCATAATTAAAATATTTTAGCACAATGTTTCTTTATGTTTGCAGCAACTATTTTAAAATCTCGTAATGTTTGAGATTCTATTCATCAAGTAAGAGAACAATATTAAAAATACTACATGAAATTAATTCGCTTAATCAGATAGTGTTTGTAACACCTTTGAGCATTTTGTTAATCTGTATTTTGTAAACAAAGTATATAACTATGAATATCAATTGTAATAAAATTGTTATGCTTTTGTCAACCGTTATGTGTTAGAATAATATTTTATTTTGAGATTCCTTTTCAGTGTTTTAAAATTTATTTGTAATGGTTCGTGTCATTTTGGGAAATACAAGAGGATTTTGTCAAATAGTGCAATTTAGAATGTATCTACTAAGCTTTTAAGAATTTTGGAATAACGCTTTTTGGCAGTTTTCCAACATCTGCTTGTTGTTTCCAAAACGATTGTAATGTACTTAAAACTCTT